AACAGCGCTACCGTTTAAAACCGGTCTGATTCTATTCGTGACCAGGCTATGTATCGCCTACTGCAAAATCAAAGGACGTCTCGCCTCAAGGAGCCCTCCCCGTCCCTACTATTGGGCCGATCCAAGTAGCTCCCTGAAGGTTAGTTTTTTTTCCTTTTATTCATATTTTTCAAAGAAATATTCTAAATGTATTATCCCAAAAAACTTAATATTAATTAAGAAATTTAAAAACCACGAATTCCAAAAAATGTTAATCAGGGTAAGATATTAGTTAGGGTAGTTTTAGAAAAAGGTCTATAGAATTAAAATAATCATATCAGTTTAAAAAATGTTAAACATTTCAGTAAAATGTACGTGAAATTGAAAAAGTGTTCATACAAAAAATGAATAATTCAAGAAAATGTTTTCTACCATACAAAAACTGTACATTGCATTTACAAAAAATGTCCCCCCATTTCACAGAAACATGTTTGTGACATTTAAAAAATAGGCTTTCCACCACGATCGAGTGCATCGGCATGTTCGGCCTCCGGAGTACCCACATCATCGGATATTGTTGTACAGTAACTACTCTATCTTGTATGCTCAAATGAGTCAAACCCAACGACACGTTCCGCGCAGAATCATACTATGTGCGTGAATCACAATCATTTTTGATTGAAAGTTCGCGGCCTGCACGATTGATTTTATTGGGCTACAAGTCAATCCAAAGGAACAAAAAGCTTCTGCGACAGGTTGGCTGTCTTCAGCTACTTGTATGAATGGGATCGACACGCACACGTTGATGTTTATCCGACACTTTCTGGCTAGTGTCGCTCCAAAAGATCAAATAATCGTAAGGATAAATCGGTTTTTGTTTGCAGGGAGCCATATAAAACAAACAGAATTCGCTAATTGGGCTGCTAAGCTTGGAGTGGCTAGTTTTTAAATGAAATCGTATTCAGCATGCCATCTTCCTTGTGGACATTTCCCGTTCATACAGTTGTAATGATTGTTCTCTCGTAGCATCTATAACCCAAGACATCAAATGTGACACCTCAAATGCCTGTGGACACCTACGAGCGCGTCCGCGGGCACTCTTAATTTTGATGCGTCCGCACCCGTGTAGTTTAAATCCGGTCCCTCATATCCATGCAACGCATGCATGTATGAAAATAAAAATAGGTAGATCAACGAACTATCACTAACTCTACTTAAATCGGGCATAAATCAAGCATAAACGATCATCAGACAACAAAAAAAATGCAGTTTCAGTCAAATAGTACGTAAATATACTATAAAAAAAACTAAATTAGACGGGGAAGGGCGAAGGAAATCACCATTTCCTCGTCGCCCCCTTCCCCTTGCGGTCAGTAGTGTTGCTTTGGCTGTCGGGGTAGGCATCGGCCGCCGAAGGGTCGTCGTCGTTGCCGTCGAAGCTTGATCCGTTGTCGGAGTCGTCCGAGAGCTCCATGTGCACCCCGACAAACCTCTGGAGACAACGATCCTGCTCCTAACCGTGCCTCATCGCCTTCACCTTCGCCGCCGCCTCACGCTCCGACAACTCGATAGCGAGCAGGAGAGCTTTGGCGTTCTTCCGCCGGATTCGCCGTGCATCCGACTCCGCAGTTGTCAGGGTGCGCCGGAGGACGGACGCGATGAGCACGTCCTCAGGATCGACCAACATGCACATGATTGCCCGGCGCCTTGCCGGCGCATCACCCGCCGCTAGGGCCTCCCTCGTGCGTTGCCGCTCGCGCTATGCGACCCAGGCCTCCGACTCGGGTGTCCTCGACCGGTCCGGCATCACTAAGGGCATAAGCACCCAATGGTGCCCGTGGAGTGGGGTGGAGCGGGCGACGCTCCCCGGTGTTGCGAGCCGGGCCCGACAACATCAGTCGCACTGCGACGGCGGGAGAAAGGGGATTTTTGTGGTTACTCAACCAGGCCCAACTCAATCACGAGTACAAATATCTAAAAAATAATAATGAGACCTACCAAACACATCGTTAGTGGTTGTCCATTTTGCCGCCGGCGAAGTACTCTTCAAAGTCTTGCTCGATGGAAAGCCGGTGATCTTCTCGATTCTTGTCCGGTGCAATGCATGTTGACATGCTTGATGCTTTCATGCATGCGCCTAGCTAGTCCATGGCAGCTTGTGCCACCACTTGTGCAAAAGTGCATGACACTCACACACATGCGTATGCACGCATGCCATTGCCTCGTATGCAATCTGTAGTGCATGCAAGTCATGTCCCTTTCCATCACGATTGAGTGCATCACCGTGTATGGCCTCCGGAGCACCCAGATCGCTACTCTATCTACTATCTTGTATGCTAAAAGTTGTCAAATCCAACGACACATTTCACTAGAATCATTTGTGCGTGCATCGCAATCGTTCTGGATTGAAAGATCGCGGCCTGCAACGATCGGTTTTGTTGGGCTACAAGCCTACTAAGTCAATCCAAAACGTATATTCAGGATCGGCACGCTAGTGGTTATCTTAAAATATCTGGCCAATGAATGTCGGCTCAAGAGATCTAGCAATCATATGGTTATAGTACATCGGTCCATGTCCTTTTCGACATAGGTATAGCGTCCGTTTATATGACTCTATATTGTTACGGAATTTTGGTGTTTGGCTATGTACATCTAGTTATACAGAGACCGGATGCTACTCTTAATGATGTGTATCTGCTTGATGCTACATTTTAATTAATAAAAATGCCATTTATCAAAAATAATGGTTATACCATAAAATCCATGGGAGGAATAAAATACTAGCCGTAGGGCCAACCAAGATCTAGATATCTCGCTGGACCACATCCACATGCATATTTGCATGATCTAGATATATAGTATCACGTGAGTTTTTTCGCCCGCTGATTTTATTTGTTTGTTATTTATCATTGATCAGCATGCAAGATGAAAGTTGCCAACTAGGAGCAGACATTGTCCCACTCGAGATAACATTCCGCGGACATGAAGCCGGGCCAGCACAAGATGATGCATCCGCTGGCCGCCGGTATAATTATTGGCACGTTTACGTGCATGATCAAATCTGGAGCTGCGTCCACTCACCATACGTAGTGGAGCCATCGATCGCATTCTAGCTGCATATGGGGTAGTTGCCAGTTTGGGATCTCACGCACTCAACTGCTATCACTGTTCTCGTTTAGATCACACGCATTAGCTAGAGACGGGCTAGC